TCAGCACCACATAAGCAAAAAGAAAAAAGCTGGAAGTGGTGCTGTGGCTCAAGTGGTAGAGCGCTAGCCTTGAGCTGAAGAGCTGAGGGACAGTGCCCAGACCCAGAGTTCAGGCCCCACAACCGGACCTCCCCCCCAGAAAAACAGCTTAATGGTGCCTTAAACAGGGGTTGTAAAAATTCAGCCTATAGGCTAAATCTGACTGGTAGTGTATGTGTGTGTGCTGGCATTAATATTGGAACTTGATCTCAGGGCCTGGCATTCTCCTCTAGCTTTTTCAGCTCAAGGCTGGCATACCATCACTTGAACAATACCCTTACTTCCCACTTTTTATTGGCTAATTGGCAGTCTCATGGATTTTCTTCCCCAGACTGGCTTCAAACCACAATCAGATCTCAGCTTCCTGAGTAGCTTGGATTAAAGTCATGAATCACTGGCTCCCTGCTTTTTTCTCTCCTAGAAACAGGATCTCACTATGTAAAGGTTGGTCTTGAACCTGCACCTCAATTTTCTCAGTGCAGGGTTTCAGGCATATACTACCATGTTTAAATTGAATTCAGCTAAAACAAGCAAGTTTGAGGTGCCTGGGATGTGTCTTTGTTTCTCAGTTCCAATCCCTTTCATTCTTTCTACATATAATCCAGAGCTTTACCAATGGGACCAACCACTCTTGCCCCTTATCTTTTGGAGTCATGGGGCTTGAACTCTGGGCTCTATCACTTGAGCCACAGCACCACTTCTGGTTCTTATTGGAGATAAGAATCTCATGGACTATCTTGCTTGGGCTAGCTTTGAACCTCGATCCTCAGTCACCTGAGTAAGATTACAGGCCTGAGCCACCAGCTTTAGTCTCTGCTTTTTTTTTTTTTAAGCTAGATTTCCTCTACCCCTAAAAGAAAAAACCAAAAAACTCTTTGTTGGGTTCCAGTTCTAAACTCACAGTGAACCCCTACCCCCAACTTCCCAGTTGACAAATCAAGGGGCCCCTATTCCCATCTCCTTCCTCTTTTGAAGTCAGTGTCTCACCTTTTCCTGTTCCTGTCTTTCGCTAGACTGGAAAGTAGGCAAGGACAAGTGAGAAGACACATCACATAGTGGGTGGAGTTTTGCTTTGACTTTCCTCCCACCCAGCAGGGCTAGACCCAGGGGTGGGGGGTGGGGGGTCATGGGTTCCTGGCTAGACTTGTGAATATATAGTTGAACTAGTTTCTGGGATTATGGAGGCTTTCACCAGATGACAGGCAGCTAAGTGCTCCTGTTTCAGACCAATTGGAGAGACCAAATAGTGCCACATTTCTGCAAGTGGCACATTCCCAGGGCTTTAGTCTTGCATTTATGGAGATCTCAACAAACCTAAAGAACCAGGCTTGACTGAATACTGATGGTTCACACCTGTAATCTTTTTTTCTTTTTGTGCCAGTCCTAGGACTTGAACTCAGGGCCTCGACACTATCCCTGAGCTTCTTTTACTCAAGGCTAGTGCTTTACCACTTGAGCCACAGCTCCATTTCTGGCAAGTGCGTGCACACGCACGTGTGTGTGTGTGTGTGTGTGTGTGTTTGTGTGTGCATGCATCTCCTGAGTCTCCTGAGCTGGGTGCTAGTGGCTATTGCCTGTAATTCTAGCTACTCAGGAGGCTGAGATCTGAGGGTCACAGGTAGAAGCCAGCCCAGGCAGAAAAGTCTGTGAAACACTTATCTCCAATAAACTACTCAGAAAAAGCTGGAAGTGGTGTTGTGAGCACAAAGAGGGTCCAGGCCCCGAGTTCAAGCCCCAGGACCAGCAAAAAGAAAAGAAAAAAAATCTGGACGTTCCTTCCCAGGCTGGCTGTAATCCTTCCTAGTCAGGAGGCTGTGGTCTGAGGATCACAGTTTAAAGTCAGCTGGGGGAGAAAAGTCTGTAAGACTCTTACGTCCAATTAACCAGCAAAAAGCTGGAAGTAGAGGGAAGGTGGCTCAGTGGTAGAGCGCTTGCCTTGCAAGCCAGAGGCCCTGGTTCGATTCCTCAGCACCACCTAAGCAAAAAGAAAAAAGCTGGAAGTGGCGCTGTGGCTCAAGTGGTAGAGCGCTAGCCTTGAGCTGAAGAGCTGGGGGACAGGGCCCAGGCCTAGAGTTCAGGCCCCACGACCGCACCCAAAAAAAAAAAAAAAAAGCTGGAAGTAGAGCAGTGGCTCAAGTGGTTGAATGCTAGCCTTGAGTAAAAAGCTAAGGGACAGTGCCCCAGACCTGAGTTCAAGCCTCAGGACTGGTACAAAGTGACAACAAAGCAACACACTTAGTCTTTTTGTAGATGAAAAACAAGTTCAGAGGACAGGGATTGACCCAAAGTCACTATCCCAGGACAAGCATAGTCTAGAGTTCAGATTCTCAGATCCAGTCAGTCTTCATGTCTTTCTGTCTGTTTTGGGTTCCTAGCAGAGGCACAAAAGCCCAGATGCTTTCTTTTGTCTGGGTTTACATCCATCTCTCCAGAACTGCAAAAAACACAGCGAAGAAGCGGCTTGGCCTAGGGGAGACGCCTTTTCTGTGTCGATGGCGCCTCCTGGTGGACTTGTGGTGAGTTCTCAACAACTGCAGCAGGAACCCCAGACCTGGACCAGCCAAGCTTACCAGAGCTAGGCGGGATTGAAGGAGGGATGGGGAACCCTCCCGCCCCCCCCCCAACCCAGATACATCTCTCCAGATTAAATTGATTTGCTTCCCCTAAAACAGCGAGCAAAGACAGAGGCTGAGTCTGTGCGGGAGCGGAGGGCAGAACGAATCCAGACTTTATTGTCAGAGGAGGCAGACGGGGAGGGCTGGAGTGGGGGTCCGAGGTTGCTACATTGTCAAGCAGAAAGAGTTGATGCGGAGGGGGAGGCCAGTGGGGCCCGCCCCCCTCCCGGGGGTGGATGGGCGGTCGGCTAGAAGGGCTGACAGTACGGAAATCACAGGAGGGGTGGGGGTGTCAGGCCCCCGCCCGAGTTGTGCAGTGGGGGTGTCACGGGGGGGGGAGGCTCCTGCGGGAAGGGGCGGGGACGAGGCTATTGCTTTTTGCTCACAGTTTTGCGGAAGGCGAGGCGGGCACGGGCTTGGACTGGACACCCCTTGCCCTCCTCGGTACCCCTTGGGCGATGGGTGCTGGTGAGAAGAATGGAACCCAGGCTGGGGAGGAAGGAGGCGGGGAAGGGTCTCGGGGGGGGGCATCTCCTTGGTCCCACCCAAGTGCTGTCCCCCGCAATTGGCCCCGGCCAGGCCGGGGGAGGGGGCTGGGGCGCGGGGCGGGCACAGTGAGGTCGCAGGCGGTAACACCAAAGTGCTAATGAGGGACCCGGGACCCCGCCTGCCACCCTCCCCCTGCGGAGGGTGGGGGGGTTCACGGAAGCGCTTCAGTTTGGGGTATGGGGGGGGCCCGGAGTCCCAGAGTCCACTTATTGCCAAGAAAATCAATTTCCTCCTCCCCACCCCATCCTGGGGACCTCCCCCCCCACCATGGCTTGTGAACCCCGTTTTGTGCTAGGTTTGGGGGGAGGGGGAGGGCTAGATGGACATGGCTTTTGGGAGGGGGGTGTCTCCAAAGGGGGCTCGGGGGTGAGACGGCCCCTCCATTTCTAGGGGAGAGGGAAGGGCAGGGGGCGGGGTTCCCTGAGATCTGGGGTGTTCCCCCCTTTCTGAAGCCCCCCTCCCCCGCTACCCCTCCCCTTTCCTGGAACCCCCGTACCTTCGGGGTGGGGGGGAAAGGAGAGATCGTTCAGGGAGCGCCGGGAAGAGGGGCGGGCTGGGGCCCCCCTGGAGGTCTGGGGTCCCGGCTTGGAGGTGTGTGTGGGGGGGGACCGAACGGGAGGGGGTTCCGGGTTGAGGTCAGTATGGGGAAAAGAGGATGGGTCCGTGCGCAGTTCGGATGGGCCCCGGGGCCGGGTGGAGCAGGGGGTGGGTGATGGGCGGTCCCTGCAGAAGAGGTGCAGCCGGAGCGGGGCGCAGAGACAGCGGGGAGCCGGCCGCGGCTGCCATCACCGCAGCCACCGCCAGGGGGCTGGGCAGCAGGCCCCCGGCCAGGGACTTGGGCAGCTCCTTGGAGAAAGTCAGCGTGCCCTGCACGAGGAGAGGAGGGGGGCGAGGTCAGACAGGCAGGCCCCGCCACAAGGAAGGGCGGGCCACCCCGGCCCATCCCAGACAGCCCGCACACCCACCCACCCACCCACCCGCCCTGGCCCTCCCTTGGCCCCGCTGCCCACAGCCCAGGCCTCACCGCCAGCTCCCCGGCGCCCCTCGGCTTCTTGTGCCGGCTCAGTAGTGGGTTGGGTTTCCCAGCCACTCCATCTCGGTGTCGCCGGCTGGAGATGTGCTGCAGGGTGTGAGTGGGGGGGGGGGGGAATAGAGCGACCACAAGGAAGGGGCAAAGCCACAGCTCAGATGACAGCAAGGCGCTCCAGGCCTTGGCCACCACCCCTTCTTTGGCACAGGGGTCAGATCGGGCAGAAGAGACCTCCGCCCAAGCTCCTGGGGTTCCTGGGAAGGGCTGCACACCCACCTGTTTCAGTTGGACCTCCGAGTTGACCTTGACGTTGCAGATCTCACAGTGGAAGGTTCGGTCTTGGGCAGGAGCTTCGGGCTCCCCGGGGGTGGGAGGCCCAAGGCGAGGATATGCTTTAATGGGCCCCAGGCCACTGCGGGCCTCCAGAATTGTCTTGTGCTTAGTACCTGAAGGCCACAGAGGACAGGGGGTAAGGGACAAAGGGAAAATTTCTCCAGGCCAACCAAAGCCTCAAATGCCCACATTCTCAATTACAATACCAGAGAGGGTGCAGGCAGGCATAGGATTTTCTCCAAGCCTCTTGAGTCCCTCTCAAACACAAGGTGAGTCAGTGGAGAGCCACCATGCCTGGAAATCCTAGCTTCTCAGGAGGCTGAGATCTGAAGATCATAGTTCAAAGCCAGCCCAGGCAGACGCCTCTCCAGTTAACCAACAAAAAGTTGTGGGCTGGGAAGGTAGCTCTGTGATAGAGCGCTTGCCTTGCATGCATGAGGCCCTGGGTTTGATTCCTTCGGCACCACACAAGCAGAAAAAAAAAAAGCCGGAAGTGGCACTGTGCCTCAAGTGGTAGAGTGCTAGCCTTGAGCTCAAGAGCTGAGGGACAGCGCCCAGGCCCAGAGTTCAGGCCCCATGACCGGACCCCCCCCTAAAAAAGTTGGAAGTTAGCCAGGCCCGGTAGCTACTGAGGAGGCTGAGATCTGAGGATCAAGATTCAAAGCCAGCCAGGGCAAGGAAAGCCTGTGAGACTCTTATCTCCAATAACCACCAGAAAACCAGAAGTGGCACTGTGGCTCAAGCGGTAGAGTGCTCGCCTTGAGCTGAAGAGCTGAGGGACAGCACCCAGGCCCAGAATTCAAGCCCCATGACCAACAACAACAACAAAAAAAGTTGGAAGTGGAGGAGTGGCTCAAGTAGTACAATGCCAGCCCAGAACAAAACAAAACAAAATCTCAAGTGAGAGTGCAAGGCCCTGAGTTCAAACCCCAGTACATGCAAAAATAAGTAAGGTAAAGGGAAAAAGCTAAGAGAGTAATCTTAACTACTCAGGAGGCTGAGATCTGAGGGTCATGGTTCAAAGCCAGCTCAGGCTTTTTTTTATTTTTTTGTTTTGGTCAGTTGTGGGGCTTGCACTCTGGGCCTGGGCACTGTCCCTCAGCTCTTCAGCTCAAGGCTAGCACTCTACCAGTTGAGCCACAGCACCACTTCCAGTTTTCTGATGGTTCATTGGAGATAAGAGTTTCATGGACTTTCCTGCCTAGGCTAGCTTTTAACTGTGATCCTCAGATCTCAGCCACCTGCGTAGCTAGGATTACAGGCGTGAACCACTGGCACCTGGCAGCTCAGGCATTCTTATTCCACAAATTACCACAAAGCCAGAAGTAGAGCTGTGGCTCAAGGAAGCAGAGCACCAGCCTTGAGTGAAAAAGTACGACAGTGCCCAGGTCCAGTTCAAGCCCCAGTACTGGCATATACATACGTACATATATACATACATACATGCATACATACATACATACAAACATACATACATAAGGTGAGGAGGTCACTGGGAAAGGAGATAGACAGGGAAGTTTTAGAGGGCTCAGGGGAGCTAGGATGTAGACTACAGAGTGGGCTGAGGACAGGAAATGTGGACGGGGCAGGGGAGGCCATACCTTTGTTATGCGCCTCAAGCTGGGACAGGGAGTTCACAGCCACCTTGCACAGTGCACAGTAGAGCAGTCGCTTGGCTTTCTCCTCCTCTTCCTTGCTACCTCCAGGCAGGGCAGCGGGGGCTGGAGTCCCCCCTTCCCCTTTGGTTATACCCCGGCCACTCTCTGGAACACTGGGAGGCGATGGGGACCCAGGCTGTTTCTCTGGGGATCCTGGGACAGGACCCAATCCATTCTCCATGGAAACTGTTATGGGGAGAAACATGGGGTGGGTGGGGGGGATCATCCTAATGGCTCTTGGTGAAGCTTCTTCATGTGGAGACCCACCCCCACTTCCTGGAGGGCAAAGGCCCAGAAATCCCCACCCTGTGACAACATTCATGCTTTCATGCCCTGGGTCAGGGCCAGATGTGGTCTAGCTGCCACAGGCTGAGAGCATGAGGCTGGCTCATTCTCCATAAGCTGAGAATGGTCAAGTGGTCTGGCCCCATGAGTCGACTTTGAGGGTAAAACTGGCCGCCTACTGAGTCGGCCTACTGAGTCAGGGGTAGAACATGGAACAAGGATTCAAACACCCTCCTCCCCGCGCCCCTGCCTATGTATCACCAATGGCCTGCCAGCCAGCCGGGGCTTCTTGCCAGTACAAGACCCTTCCCAGAGTCCTCCCAGCTCCAGGAAAGCTCACCAAGGAGCTGTAGAAAGGGGTAGAACCAGGATGAGGGAAGGTTAGGAGAGACAGATGCAGGCAGAGCAAAGGGAAACAGAAACAGCAGAATCGGAGAGGGAAGAAATAGGGATGCAGGCTATTCTATAATTCATGGGCACAATTAAAGATGCACAGTCCCCAGGCCTCTGCAACTGGGTTCTGGCCTCTGTACAGGGGAAACTCTAGCGCTCCCATTCTCGCTCCAGCAACTGATCCAGTTTCCGGGTCATGGGGCGGGGAGGGGCCTGTGATGGGCTGTGGGGATGGGGAGCTGGTAGAAGGGGGCATTCCTAATTATTGTAAGTATCCATTTGTTTGTCCAGCCGATGATCCTTCTCTTTCATTCTCTTACTCAGTTCTGATATTCTCCACCAATCTATATAACACATCTCTGGACAGGACTTCACAGAACCTAGAACAGAGCTTGTTAAGAAATGTTAAGTGGGCTGGGATGTAGCTTAGTGGCAAAGCACTTGCCTAGCAAGTGCAACATCCTGGGTTCGATCCCCAGTACTAAAAAAGACAAAAACAAAACAAGCAAAAAAAAAAACCCGACCATTTAGCTGGGCGTCGGTGGCTCATGCCTGTAATCCTAGCTACTCAGGAGGCTGAGACCTGAGGATCGCAATTCAAAGCCAGTCTGGGCAGGAAACTCCGTGAGACTCTTACCTCCAGTAAGCCACTCAGAAAACTGGAAGTGGCACTGTGGCTTACCTTGAACTGAATTGCTGAGGGACAGTGCCCAGGCCCAGAGTTCAAGTCCCATGACCGACCCCCCCCCAAAAAAAATGTTAAGCAAGCACTGCTACTGCCACCACCATTGCCATCCTATATCAATTTCTTTCCTTCCTTCCTTTTCTTTTTTTGGTGCTGGTTCTGGGGCTTGACCTCAGTGCCTGGGCCTTGTCCCTGAGCTTCTTTTGATCAAAGCTAGCGGTCTACCACTTTGAACTACATCTCCACTTCTGGCTTTCTGGTGGTTAATTGGTGATAAAGAGTCTCATGAAGTTACCTGCCTGAGCTGGCTTTGAACTTCAGTCCTCAGATCTCAGCTTCCTGAGGAGGTAGGATTATAGGCGTGAGCCACTTGTGTCCTGTTTACACCCCAATTTTATACAGGTGTTGGCAAATTCATTTAAGATGATCAGGGTAGGAAACAGCCAGAACATAATTAAAACTCAGGCCTGCAGCCACTATCTGCAATTCTGAGGGTGGCTCCCTGTGTGTGTGGGAGGGTTTGGGAGGTGTCCATGGGAGCTTGAGATTCCAAGCAGGCAGGCTTTCACTTTCTCTCTCTCTCTGTTTTTTTTTTTGGTGCTGATATTTGGGCTTGAACTCAGGACCCTGTGCTCCTATTTGGCTGTTTTTGCACAAGGCTGGCATTCTATCACTTGAACCATGCCTTCAATTCTGGCTTTTTGCTGGTTTGAGATAAGAGTCTCACAGACTTCCTTGCCTGAGTTGGCTGTGAACCTTGATCCTCAGGCCTTAGCCTCTTGTGTAGCTAGGATTCTAAGCCACTAATACTCAGCTTTTCATTGCCCTTGTGGTAAGGCAGGGCAGGCCAGGATCCGATGAAATAGGGGCGAGGAGGATGTCAGATCTCTCTCTCTCTCTCTGGAATTGGCCAGGATTGACATCGATGTGGCAATCTCGGGATGGGGGTGGCTTGTATCTTCTTGTCCCCATATTCCCTCTTCCCAATTTCTTGGAAGTACGGTTAAGGATGGTGGCCATCAGCCACGAGGGTAAAAGAATTTCAGAGCTGTTTTTCTTTCTTTCTTTCTTTTTTTTTTTAAAAAGCTGGAAAAAGACCGTGAAGATCTTAAAGTCTCATTCTCTTGTTTGCCAGAAAAGTAAACTCTGGCCCAGAGAGGCCCGAAGTTCTACTGAAGACATCCAGGGAGTTGCCTTTTTTTTTTTTCTTTTTACCCAGACTTCCCTGGGGAGCCCTAGCTGGGCTCACATATCCTGATTCTCTCTCCCTAAGATGAAAGGGGCTCTTCCTGGATTGGATGGTTCCCTTTTTCGTGGGGAGTTTTGCCAGGTGGCCTCACCCTAGCCCCTCTGAGTCACTGGGCGTTGGGGAGAACACAGTGGGGATTCTGTTGAGAGAAGCTGAGGCAGGGCTGGGTGGGGGTGACAGGATGGAAATTTCTCATCACTGTGTCTGTCCTGCTCCAGCACTCACCTTGGATGAGGAAGAAGGGGGCAGGGGGATGGGGACTGAGGGAGGAGGAGAGAAGCAGGGGAGAGAACATGAAGACAGAAGAATGTGTGTGTGTGGGGGGGAGAAGGATTTAGACACACCTGGACGGGGGGTTACCCCATCTCCACTTGGAGGGGTATTCCCTGGTGGAGCTGGGTCTCCAGGTTCCCGGACACCAGGCTCCCTGCCTCGGGTCTTGGCGGCCTCGATACCTTTGACTCTTCGGGCATGGCGATTACCCTTGTAGTGTGCCTCAGCCTGGCTCTTGAGGGATGGAGGAAGAAAAGGGAATCTGAGATTGCCTTTTATCCGCCTGGCCTCCCCCACAGAGCTCCTTTAGGTCCCAGGGTAGTCTCAGCAGACTACAGAGAGAATCTTTGCCTACACCCTGGGAATATAAAGCCCCCTGCTGATAAATCTGGTTACTCCTGGAGCTTCCAGCTTCATTCAGTCTTTGGGAATCTAGATTCTCCACCTGGCTCAGACTGCATCCCACCAGGGTCTGACTTTGGGCTCAGGACTCTTACCTAGTCCCAAGGTGGAGGGCATGTGGACCCTAACCCTATGAGAGAATGCTAAACTGACAGAGGCCTTAACAATGAAGCCTGCTGGTCCCTTTAGACCCTGAGGCCCACGTGCCAGAGTCCCTCAATCCTCAAGATCTTACCTTGGTTGTTTTCACTATCAGTCCTAGGAGCTCTGATGCCTGGGCTCTGTCCTGACTACTCTCCACCCCTCCAGGGTCTAATTTTCCCTGAAGTCTCCGCAGACACCCTGGAGGACCCTGGCCTCAAGCCCAGCTCTAGAGACAGGAGACAGCAGCAGAGACAGCTGTCAAAACAGAGCCACCTCATGGGGAGGGAGAGGAAGAGCCTATCAAGGGGAAGGCTAGCTGCTATTGGATCCCCACCCCTCCAATCTTATTCCTTCCACCAATGAGTGGAGACAGGGTTGATAGATAGAATGCCTGGGGTCTAAGCTAAGCAAGAGGCCTCATGCTGGCTTGATTCTGACTCCACCTACCTACTGCCAGCCCCTGTCCTCCACTCCCTTTTGCACCCTTGCTAAGAAGGGACAATGCTGGAGGTACAAGGTCACCTAAACAGGGGTGGAAATGAAAGGTATGGATAGACAGCAAAGGAAGATGGACAGCCTAGGAGGGATAGAGCAGTAGTGTGCAGTGTGTGTGTGTGTGTGTGCGCGCGCATGTGTGTGTGTGTGCTGGGTAGTCAAACAAAATATGCTTTTCCCCTACTCAGCATAGTGAAGATCTGCTGTTTTTCTCCAAAAGCTCTCGAGAGCCTACACCCCATAAATTCTCCTTGAATCTAAACAAAAGACCCAGTGGAGCCTGAAAGGGAGGAGATCTGAGTGGCAGGATACATACCTGGATTTGGATGGCTTTGGGGCATGGGGAAAGCATGAAGGGGCCTGGGGGCTGGTCTTTGTATGTGACTTGGAGGTAGGAGGGTAGAAATGAAGTCGAGTGACAAATGAAGCCAGTAAGTGGGAGGGAATCAGATGGGTCTGGGGTTCAGCAGAGGCCAAAGAAGACACAGGATCTGTGGGGGAGCCAATGACCTAACAGCCCTGCACCTAAGGAGGGCAGAGGCCACCTTCCCACCTCCCCAGACATCTGTGCTCCTAGTGTCTCTGAGCCAGTCGTGCCTCAGTCTCCAAAAGGAGACATCAGCCTTGGAGGATTAATCTATTTCATGTCAAAAATACACCACAACAGTGTGTCCCTCTTAAGTGCTGTCCATCAGCCCTTGCCCTTCCTGTAGTATCCCAGTTCCCCACTTTCCCCTTAACCCCCCTGTCTTAGTTCCAGCCCTTCACCCACAGCTCTCAGTCTCTGCCCCTCCTCAAGGCCCCTGTCTCCCCAACCCTGCGGCTGAGTGGCTGGACTTCTTACCTGAGAATTGAAGCGGATTTGACAGACATTACAGGAGATGACTGGCCGCTTGGTCTTGAGCAAGGGCCCCCCGAAAGTGTGGGAAAGCACAGCCTTCTGCACAGGGTCCATCTGTGGAGGTAAGCTGGGGTGAGCCAGGAACCCCAGCACAAGCTCAGTTCTGTCACCTGGCCCCTCTCCGACCTTCATCAGCTAGGTGAAAGCAAGAGCCCAGAGCCTCAGTGGCCAGATGCTCTCCAGCTTAGTCCCCTTCAACAGCCCTGGAAGGAACCAGCTGGAGCCACTGATCCAACATGCTCCCATTTCACAGAAAGTCGAATTCCCAGTGCTTTGTCCAAGGTTCACAGGATGAATTAGCAGCAGAGCCCGAAATCAAACCTGGACTCCTGCCATGATGGTCCAACTCTGATCCCCCTTGACCTAATTTGTCAAGAGTCCCACTGACGGAAGTCCTAAAGTATTGTAGTTCCTAGGCCTTCATCTAAAGCCTCTAAACCTTACGGGCCCTACTCTGGGGTAGGCCTGTCTGCCAAGCCTTGCCTCTGCTTCCAGGAGACAGATATTCCTAGCTTCCTAGCTCCGAGCCCCACTTGACCTAGTCTGCTTCTCTCTGGACCTCTTTAAGGTAGCAGCTTCTAGAGGGAATCAAGTAACTTAAGAGAGTAAGTGGCTCTAGGGAATAATGGAGAAGGAGAAGGGGGAATCTGGACAGCTAGGGTGGCTTCAGACAGCCCAGAGATCTTCTGAACTCTCCCTCTGATCAACGGGACTTTGAGGGTAGGGCTGGGAGGCTGGGCTGGATTAGGAGACATCTCTGCCTCCACCCTGGGTCAGCAGATGTCTTGGCTGTCTCCTGCCAAGAGTTCACAAGAGGAGGGGAGAGGACAGCCTTTCTTTGAGGCCTTCAGCAATCAGGGAATAAACCAGGGGCCTAGAGGCATGAAAACAGCCTCCTTGAACAGTCTTCCCCCCTTTGGGCCCCTATAGGTGGTGGCTCAGAAGGGGCATGACTGGAATGCAGCTGAGGCCCTGAAGGACTGGATGGTGGCTGGGACCTTCAGAAGAATTAGGGCGGAAACCTTATCTTCCAGCTGGAGAAAATTAAGGAAGAGATAGTTGCTGGGGACTTGGGGGTCCTTAGCTCCCCAGCTGAGCCCACCTTACACCAGGTTTCAGGGTTCCCAGGAGACATGGCAAGAGACAGAACATGGAGCAGAGTCTGGAAAAACCCACCTGTCTTGACTGTCCTTTCCTCACCCAGGAGTCTTACCACCTGGTCTGGGGTTTATATCAGGAAAGAGGCATCAGCAACCCCTGTGAACTGGGCACTGGCCTCACCTGCTTTGCCATGATCAGGTTCATTCAGGTAACTGGTCTGACAAGTGTCTCCCTCTTGGCCTATGCCTGGCTGGAATCAGCCCCTCTCACGGGGGAAACCCCTCCCTCCCTCCCTTCCTCCCCTTGTCACATCCAAGGAAAAGCCCAACAGGAGAGGAATGGGTGTGCCTATGTGTGTCAGGCAGGCTGTGATCAATCTGTGCATGGGTGGAGTGTGAATGAGTGTCATGTACTGTGTGTACAATCATTTATGTATCAACATTTCTGTGTCGGGGGCTTTGCTGACACTAGGAATGGTCAGGTTGTGTAATCTTCAGCTGTGTGTTTGTCTGTGTGGATCTGATGTGTTTGGCAGAAAGAAAGACAGACCAGGTTGGAGACAGGCTTTAATCAGAGGGGGGAGACAGATTGCTTTTCTCAAGCTCCCCAAACCCAAGGCTTCAGTCTTTCCTATTCAGAGACCCTCCCCCAAATCTACCCTAGGGTTCTCCTAGCCCCTGCGCTTCCTCATATGCTGGGTGGGGAATGGGAATTCAGCCCAGACAGAAACCCAATCTGGGCCAGGAAACCTAAGTCGCATGAAAACAGTAGGGAGAGAGGAGTAGGATGGAGAGGAGAGAGAGAGAAGCCTCCCGGTCTGTCCGGGCTCACCCCAGCTCCCCAGGCTGCTCCCCAGAAGGGCTGAGGAACCAGGACCTTGAAGATGAGCTACAGACGGACCATTCTAACCTCCACCCCTGGGAATGGTCCAGAATGAGAACTTTAACTTGCACAGCCTTCTTTCCAGGTTAAAGTCCTGAAACACCAACTAGGGGTGAGGCTTGGGGAGGGGGAGAGGGCAGCCACAGAACCAGGTGGACCCTCCCCACGTTCTCCAGAAACTGAGGAGACCAGGGGCTGAAGGTGAGGGTTCCTGGGCCCAATCCTGGTGCAGGTGGAATGTGAGCCACTGGAGTGCTGCTCCAGGCCAAGGTCAGGAGGCCCTGGTGACCTAGATGAGGCCTCCCTGGGGAGGGGGGTGGAGGCCAGCATCTTTTAGAGCCCATCTTACTCCAGAGCCCCTTTTGTGGGATGGTGGCCCAGACATTGTCTGTGCAAGTCCCCTCCTGCCTGCCCTCCAACAGGAGACTCGAAGGGGAATGACTCCCTGAAGCTGGGACAAAATGAATCAGGAAGGGCAAGGGGGTGGCAGATCAGGAACAGGGGTGGGTGTGGGTGGGCGTGTGGGGTAGGACTGTATTTCCTGCCACTGCCTCCTATCTGACGGAAGAACCCCCTGCCCCATGTGGGGCCACCTCACTTACCCACCCTCAATATCAGGCAATGAGGGAAGGAAAAAAAAAAAAAGAGTGGAATCGTGGGGCTGGGAAAAGACCTGAGAACAGGCAGCACTGACACAGGAAGGAGCAGGTGGAAGGAGAGGGGTGGGGTCAGGCCTGGAGAGGAGGAATCTGGTCATGTTGAGGGTGGGAGGGTGGGTGTAGAAGACCTGGGAGCGCCCCCCTCCGGTCCCCCCCCCGTCCCCCAAGGACGTGGGACGCAGAGGTTGGGGTCTCCAGGAAGGCGGCAGAAGTGGGGTGGGGGAGGGGGAAGAGAGGGGATCTCGAGGTTGGAGGGCCGCGCCGTGGAGGGGGGATGGGCCCCGCAGGGGCAGGGCGGGCGGGGACGG